TTTTTTTTTGCATAATCCTCAAAATTTTTAATCCAACTATTAGTCAGTCATTATATATTACAAATTTCAAAAATGGTTCTCAGTACGTAGTGTAGGTGGCAGCACACATGATAATAATAAGATAAATGAATTAATCGTATGATCACAAGTAATCATGGATTATAATTTTGTTCCATATTAGTTTATATTAATTATTAATAAACAAATAGTTTCATTAGTAAATATTGGCTGTCAGGGTTAATTTCTGAAATGTGATCTATTATTAACCTATTGCAATTGCTTTGGCTGTGGTCTTTGGGAATACATTATCAATTCAAAGTTTGGGTAAAGATCTGGTCCATTCTTCGCTGCCGAAAGAATCCTCTGTTAATAATCCGAATTTTTATTTATACCTAAAGATTAACAAAGTGTAATGACATTCTCAACTTCTTATAATTAATTTCATTCATCTACCACATTTTTACGCCAGCAATTTCGTATAGTTCAACGATTTGTCAGGTAATTGATTATCAACATTTCATCATCTGATTTACCAGAGGTCACGTTCGAAAATGTCATTTCATGATTGCACGTCAAAATTGAAGAGCCTTTTACAAATCGCTCTTTTCAATAACAAGCGGCTACAGGTACGTAAATACGAAAACCGTTAGATAATAGAATGATGGTGTTTGTACTCATTGCGTGACCTGATTCGTCGATTGTCCGATTTGCACCTGTTGATGTTGAACAGCAGTTCAACTGTGGAATTGGGACAATGGGCCTTCGCACTTTAACTCAATCGAAATGTTTGTAGTTTGACGTGGATGAAATTAGCATTGAGAAAAGAAGAGTTTTGTTCTAACTACGTGTAATTAACGGTTCACTGACAGTGAATGCAATCAGTGGTTTTGCTTGTTATTCAGTAAAGCCAGTTACGGTATGGGCCATGTCCGCAGATAATTAAAATTCCCGCTGATACCATGGTTCCTGATACGTTTGATGCTTAGAATGCACGAATGCATGTAAACGTGAGGCAAGT